TATTCCAATACTTACGAATACAAATCTTTTCTCTTTATATTAGTACTAGCTTTCGCCCGCGATTCCGTCCGCGTGGTAATAAAAAAAACAACAGTGAGTAGTCTATGTGTTCTTCCAAACTATTCTCTACATCTATACCAGATTTCATCCAAATCCATTCAGCAGTTTAGGCCACAAACTTCAAACATCCATCTAAACTTTCGCATTTACAATTGTAAGATTTTGCCTGCGACCTCCTCCTCTTGGTATTTAAAAATTTTAAAAAAGAAATAAAAAAATATAGCCTATGTTACTCAAACATAAATAACCTTTCTAAAGATGAAGGAATTTTTAAAATCGGCGGTAGTTTTTGAGTCTGCATTACAAAGTTTTCCTCTTTATAATATTACTATAAATGTATTATTTACTATACACAAACTACAATTTACTATAACACTATATTACAATAGTTTTTTTCTCTTTTCCCATAGTTTTGTAGAGAAATTAGAGGAAGTACTATCAGGTAAGCGAGCGGTGACGTTGGTTTTGGACGACCCGGCCGGCAACTCGTACGTGCAGAGCCTCTCTGATGACCCACAAATACCTGATGATGGTGAGTATATAGGATGACTATGAAGAGGAAGACTGAAGCAAGTGGATGGATTGTGTGAAAGAGGATATAAAGAAGTGTATTCAGATATGACAATAGAGATGTATGGAAGAGCACAACTGTGCCGACCCTCTATAAGGGATAAGGGCTAGTTGATAATGAAGGTGATTATATAGTCGGAAAACCGCGGTATTCAAAAAATTGTCTTGTTCCGAATCAAATAATCGATAAGTCGGTTTCCCAGCTAAATTTAACCATTCGTTAGTGTTTCTTTCGATAACTTTATGAAATTAGTTTCTGACCGAAACTTGGGTTATTTCGTTGAAATTTAGGTCATCCTAACACTTAAAAATCTAGGTAATGATTAAGTATATGGTAACTTCAACCCAGTTTAGGTAGCACATAAAAAAATCCTTTTAGTTGTTGTGTCTAAATCGTTTAAAGAATGAATACCGACAGATTCCCTGATTGTACTTTATTGTACACTAGCTTTCGCCCGCGACTCCGTCCGCGTGGTATTAAAAAATACAAAAGTTGGTAGCCTATGTGTTCTTCCAGACTATCCTCTACATCTAAACCAAATTACATCTAAATCAGTTCAGCAGTTTAGGCTGCAAACTCTAACAAACATCCATCTAAATTTTCGCATTTATATTAGTATGACAGTTTGGTAAAATTATAATTTACAGTAATATTTTATTTACAGGTCTGAAAGTAACTTATTATGAACGATCTTTTGAACAAAATGATGAACTAGGTCTCAATGATATGAAGATCGAAGGTTATGAAGAAGACAGTTAGCGAACTGCCAGATTATATAAAAACTATAGACAATGCGTTAATTATTTTACTGTTTAAAACATAAAACATTGCCGTTTAAATGCTTAAGTAAATGTTTATTTTGTATATTTGTTTATATAACATTCAATAAACTTGCATTTTTTTATAACAAGTATGAAAAATAGCATATTAAAGTATTGTTAAAGCTTATCGCAAAAGTCTGAATTTCTATGTATCAATAAATGATATTTACTTGTTATTGCTTTGTTTTATTTGAAATTAATAAATACTAGGTCACTCGGTCCGTGTGAGGTGAAAAAAACAAAAATGAGTAGGCTCTGTGTTCCTTCAGACTATCCTCTACATCTATACCAAATTACATCTAAATCGGTTCAGCAGTTTAGGCCACAAATTCTAACAAACATCCATCTAAACTTTCGCATTTATAATATTAGTAAAATTTCGACTGACTAGTGTCTTCAAATGATTTTAAATAAATATAAAATTAAAATTTTCAGGCATAATGTCGATTTCCGTTAACATTTTTTTTATTTGGCAACTTTATTTTCCTTCAAACTGACACTGACAGATGTTTTTATTTTTTTATTTTCAAACAATAACAAAATCACTTATTTGATGTCTTCCAAAATATTATAGAATTAAATAGTTATGGACAAAAGTAAAAGGGACAACGATAATAAAATAGTTTTACCACACCACGAACAACAGCCGCTTTGTACAAATCGCCTTGCGTACCGACAAGGCAGGAAACTAACTGCTGTTAAGGTAAATTGTAATAAAAAGCCTAATTTATTACGAAATATACAGCTTTTAAAATGTTATTTTAAGTAAAAATACTAGCATATTTACTATCTAGCGATTATTTAGTACCAAAGAATTATTGATCAGGTATTTTTTATTTATTTGGTATTTTTATTGCTTTTAAAGGTATATACAATAGCCAGCGAATCAAATCACCTTCTAATCTTCGGAGTACCGAGTCTTAATCTTCGACAAGAGACTAAAGCCTTATTTATAAGGTTTGGTAAATTATTAAAATTTATAATAACTATGGAACATCCCGCTGAACCATTTACAGAAACGTACCACGCACAATACGAAAGAATACAATCAGCTAGGATCGCTAAAAGAATGTTGGATACTAAAAATTTCTATGGAGGATCGCTACATGTATGTTATGCTCCAGAATTAGAAAGTATTGAAGAAACAAGAGAAAAAATAATCCAACGTCAAAAAGATGTTTCATACAGATTACGTAATTTACAATTAAATGACGAAAAACCTAAAGAAATCGTAAATATAGATATAATTAAGGAAAAAGAAGTTAATAAACTTAATATGGGAGAGGTTAATACAATAAATTTAAGTAATAAAATAATTAAGAATAAACGAAAAAGAGATTTTAAAGAAGTCATAAAAAAGTATAAACCATGTTTTATGGAAGAGAAAACCATAGACAAAAACCCAACCATAGATAATGTAAATACAGATAAGCAAACTTTACCTAAAGTTATAGAGAAAGGTCCTTTAATTAAAAAAATAGAAACTCCAGTAGAAATTGTAGATTGTACATCTATAGACAATGAAGTAATAACCAACATAAATGAACATTTAAATTATAATAAATTTGGGAATGAAGATGTTAGGAAAGTTCATAAGAAACCTGTTAATAAGATTGTGTTTAATTTAAATAAAAAACTTTAATAACAAAGATTATTTATTTAATTCATTTTAATATAAATATAATAAATGTAGATTCAATTTTACTTTGAAAATAGAAAACTATAATAAACATTATAAAGACCAAATACTGAAACAAGATTTCAATTTTTAATATCTTACATGATTAAGTTAACTTTTTTTTTTATAACATAAGGCAAACGAAGCAAGCGGCCACTTGAATCCGCTAAAATGGCGAAGCGACTGCCCATAGACATCCGCAATTGCAGATGCGTTGCCTACCCTTATCCTACAAAGGAGGAGAGGCACATAAAGAGAATATTTCCCCTTCTTATGCATCTCCTCTAATCAAAAAAATTACTTCCTTTTCCCATCCTCTCCTTATAAGAAAAGGGTGGTATAGAGAAAGGGACTTAAATTAGGCCTCCGGCACCACACTCATCAGACGAAACACGGAATTGTTTCCATTTCACGCCTGTTTTCTGTGTGGTCGTGGTATTGGGGGCGTGTCCTGCAGTGCTAACATGTTAAAGCGGGCACTACCACTGTTAATAACTCCAAATTCCATTAACATTTTGATGCCTGTCATTAAGGTTAGTTCTGACAGTTTTAACAGCATTGACTATTTAGTTAAAACTGCACGTGTAGGCAAAATTTTAACTCATAACTACTCAGTTAAAATTAGTCCGTATTCCTTAACCCTTAGTTTTGACAGATTTAACTATACAGTCTGACAGTTTATACTATACAGTCAAAGTGAAGTGGAACTGACAGCTAATACTATACAGTCAAACTGAACTATTCAACGGAACTGAACTTCACAGACGAACTGATAGTTTAACTGTACAGTGCATTTGACAGTTATAACTGTACAGGCGAACTTTTTAATTAATCAGTTAAACCTTTTTGGCTAAAAAATAACTGAACAATTGAACTGACAGTTAAAATAAGGCCTATACACAATTTTTCACTCATTAATTTCAATTAAAACTGAACGTATTGAGTGGGATCATTTATTTAAGTATTCGGCTGCTATTTGTCTAATTTTACAATGGTCCTTATTTTCATTTGGCAACACAAATATAACCTAAAAATTCACAGATGGCGGGAATATGTAATAGGTATATAAAATCACTAAAATCGAGTTCAAATAAACTAAATTTTTAAAGGAAAGTTTAGAAATAACTCGTTTATATAATTATTCTTCAGGATATTCTTCTCCGGGCATCTCTTCTTGTTCATCAAATTCTCCTTCTTCTACACCTACCTCCTACAAAAAGAGAAGAAAGTTTTGTATTTGTGTATGTATTGAAATAATACAAAAACTACTGGACCGATTTTAAAAATTCTTTCACCGTTAAAAAGCATAACCATTTTTATAGAAAAAATTACGTGAGGTATTTTATAAATTTTCTGCCCCATCCTCCCCGCTTGAGATGTCGTGAGATATTATTCAACCTCCTCCCCCAATCTCACGTGAGATTTTTCAAAATGTACAATCTGGATTAAATGGACCAAAATAGTATATTTTTTTGTTACAATCAGAAAAAAAAATCGTGACATTTGCCAAGACCCCCCTCTCTCCAACGTAAGATTAGATGAGATTTGACTCGACCTCCCTCCCCCCCTTAAACACTTCACGTAATTTATGGACGCCCCCTAAGTGATTTACTACATTTATTACTGTTTTATTTCAAGCAGACAAAGTCGCGAGCAACAACTAGGCTGTATATTTACACGCCAATAAACTTAGGGGATAAATAAATTAGAAAAAAAACCATAGACTATCCAGAACACAGAGTAACAAAAATTTTTTAAAGTGTGGTTTAAAGTTAAAAAGGTAGTTGTTTAAAAGTGTATTTTTTTACAGAATGTTCTAGAAGATTACCTCATACTGCTGGTACTCTGCGATAAGGTCGTTCATATTACTCTCAGCTTCTGTAAACTCCAGCTCATCCATACCCTCGCCGGTATACCAGTGCAGGAACGCCTGGTGTATTTACTATATTTTATAAAGGCCTCAAATATACTCAAAAAGAGGCCCTGAAGATTTTTTCAGATTGAAGAATTTATTCATAATTTATTATATTAAAGCCCTAAATGAACAGAAACGCTTAGGTTAAGAAAAAAAAATTATATTGTCCCTAAATAGATTCGTAAAAGGCCCTAAATAAGTAGCGCTGGGGGTAAACAATTCAAGTAACTTATAAGGGCCCTAAATATGTTCATTAAAACACATTTAAAAAAGAAAAGTACCGTTTCTTAAATAATTACAATAGTGAATGTTAAAAACAGTGAAAATATATTAAGGCCCTTTTTTCTGTTGGAACCTTAAGGTCTGTAATCTTAATAAAACAATTGGGGCCTTAAATGATTGTCTTATCACAACCCTAAAATCTTATGTAGACAGGGACCTTATACAGTTAGGGCCCTAATTTAGTACACAATAAGGGGCCTTAAACAGTTACAAAGACGTTACTTAGATAGAGTCCTAATGAAATTAGGGCCCTTACTAAGTGTAAGTTTAAACACGAATAGGGTCCTTAAATAGTGAGTGACTATGAGTGTACACAAACTATTTAAGGACCCTAAGTGTAGCCTGTCGAGGCTAGTTTCATGTTACCTTTCTCCTGAACATGAGTGTAAATTGCTCAGATATTCGTTTGAATATTTCCTGTATGGCTGTGGAGTTGCCGACGAAGGTGGCGGCCATCTTGAGGCCGCGCGGCGGCACGTCACACACAGCTACCTTCACGTTGTTGGGGATCCATTCTACGAAGTAACTACACGAAATATACACGTAAAAGGTTATAGATTCCGTAAAACTATTTAATTTTTTATTAGAAGACTTCTATGAAGGCTTCAATTTTACTAATATTATAGTTAATAAGAAAGTATAGATGTATGTTTGTTAATTTGTATTCTAAACTCATGATCTCGATGATTGTTTTTTTTTTTTAAACATAAGATGGCAAACGAGCAAGCGGCCACCTGAATCCGCCAAAATGGCGAAGCGACCGCTGACCATAGACATCTGCAATTGTAGATGCGTCGCCTAGCCTTATCTGACGGAGGAGGAGACGCACATAAAGAGGATATTTCCTCTTCCTATGCATCTCTTCCATCGTCAAATCCACCTTCCCTTCCCATCCTCCCATAAGAGAAGGGTAGTAAAGAGAAAGGGACTTAAATTAGGCCTCCGGCACCACACCCATCAGACGAAACACGGCATTGGTTCCATTTGACGGCTGTCTTGTGTGTGTTCGTGGTATTCTGTGGGGGCGAGCCCTGCAGTGCTAAAATGTTAAAGCGGGCACTACCACTGTTAAAATATGATACATGATTGTCATACATGTTGAGGATAGTCTGGAAAACATTGCATACTAATTTTAGTTTTTTATTTTAGTTTTTGTTAGAATGTAATCTGTAATAACAGGGCCCTTATTTAGTTTATTTTCGGACGACATAAATCATTATACTAATATTATCAATGCGAAAATTTAGATGGATGGATGGATGTTTGTTAGAGTTTGTAGCCCAAACTGCTGAATGGATTTCGATGAAATTTGGTATATATGTAGAGGATAGTCTTGAAGAACACAGACTACTCACTTTTTTTTTTTAAACCACACCAACGGAGTCGCGGGCGAAAGCTAGCTAAACATAAAATGTCCCTATTTGTGTCCTCACCTGGAGTTCTTATCCTGAACAGTGAGCATTTGTTCATCGACCTCCTTCATAGACATGTGTCCTCGGAAGATGGCCGCCACTGTGAGGTAGCGGCCGTGACGCGGATCACATGCTGCCATCATGTTCACTGGACTGAACATCTAGAAATTTACACAACAATGGACGTGGCTAGACGAGCAGGGGGTGGCAGCCACCCCCCTACTAGATTATTGTTGCGGCTATTTTTTTTATATAACATAAGGTGGCAAACAAGCAAGCGGCCACCTGAAATCCCCAAAATGGCGAAGCGACCGCTGCACATAGACATCCGCAATTGCAGATGCGTTGCCTACCCTTATCCGACGGAGGAGACGCACATAAAGAGGATATTTCCCCTTCTTATGCATCTCCTCCACCGTCAAATCCACTTCCTATTCCAAACCTCACCTTATAAGAAAAGAGAAAGGGACCTAAATGAGGTCTCCGGCACCAAACTTCTAATAATGAGAATGAGAATGAGAATGAGAATGAGAATGAGAATGAGAATGAGAATGAGAATGAGAATGAGAATGAGAATGAGAATGATAGAATTTTACGTACCTGTTGAGTCAACTCCGGCACAGTAAGGGCTCTGTAACCCTGACTATTGCGAGCCGTGAGCGGCGCGAAACCTTAAATTCACATATAAAAATTATCGCTAAAGCACTAGGTAACAAGACGTAAATACATATGCCAGCAAAATGGTATAGTAACTAGCTTGCTGGTTACTGGCATAATAAATTTACATATGCCAGTAAACTCTCAATTTCTTATTACCAAGCCCTCATCCCTTCCTTTAACTTACTTCTATATCCAAATATTGTGCTAGCTACTAGCATGCAAGTTATCGTTCACGCCAGTAGCTGGCATGTAATTGTGCCAGCTACTTCCTATACCATTCGTGAGTTGGAAACCAACACTAATGTCCACTTGCCTGGCATAAAGAAGTGTAGACGAGGGAACGGGACCATGTTCACAGCCAATTTCCGAAGATCTGCATTCAACTGACCAGGGAACCGTAGACATGTGGTCACTCCTGACATCGTCAGCTGATACCACAATAAATACATCTTACTAATATTATAAATGCGAAAGTTTAGATGGATGTTTGTTAGTTTGTATTCTAAAGTGAACGGATCTCGATGATTCTCATAGATGTAGAGGACAGTCTGGAAGAACACATAGGCTACTAAGTTGCTTTTTTAAATTAACGCAGACGGAGTCGCGAGCGAAACCTAGTTATTATATATCAATATGGAGACATGTTAAACTTTAATATTGCATAGACATGCTAAAAGCACACACCTTGGACTAAACAATCGCACAACCGTTGTCGAGTCTTTCGCAGCAAACTGTTTAGCACAACTAGAAAACCGAGTAGAGTACCTCCATATAAGGAATCAAAGCGAGATTAAACAGTTGTGCGATAGTTTGGTGGTCTATTTAATATCTTACAGAGACTAGATGATTGAGGTCTCCATACGTAGGGCTGGCGAGACGCAGAGTGCGGAAGCAGATGTCGTAGAGAGCTTCGTTGTCGATACAGAAGGTCTCGTCCGTGTTCTCTACCAGTTGGTGGACAGACAGTGTCGCATTGTAAGGCTCCACTACTGTGTCTGATACCTGACAAGACACGCAAAGCCGTGTAAAAACCTGTAATGCTGGGTTTCTGCATTTTTTATTTATTTTAGTAGAAAATTAAGAACAGAATTAGTACCGTGCTGTAGGATTGGCGCAACACTAGATTATCGGCATAATCGTCACGTCCCTAGCTGACAGCTGTCAATGTCATTAGAAAGATTGATGATTCGCGCGCATTCCTGGCGAGTTCTCTAGTGAAGTTTAAATTATTATCGCTTTTTAAAATCATATTGATTCTTTAAAATTACCTAGATTCATTACGATTAGTGTCAATGGAGTGTGGGAGGCTTTCACTATTGTCGATATTTGCGGGAAAAATAACACACGGAGTCCAGATTTGTAATGTCTGTATTTTTTTTTTGTGACTGATTTGTCACTGTTTGCCTTGAAGAGGCATTTACAGATTCACCGGGCTTGAGGTGGCCGAGCGCAGATGGCGCTTAACCTAAACCTCTGTATTTTCTAATTTCTTAACTATTTATACAATTTATTTGCTACGTGCTTATTGGCTAAAATATGTACACCAATTAAAAACTAAGTTTATTGACCAATCCGGAAGAGACATTAATTGTTAATTATAATGAGAGTGCGTGAGAGGTGATTTTCTCTGTCACACATTCTTGCGCGTTCCGCACAGAGATAGCGATATGCTGTTTATGACCTCCTATAGGAGTAAAACTCAAGTTAATAAGTAAGGAAATTTCATTTCATAAAGTTATAGAACTATAACACTAACGAATGGTAAAACGTAGCTGGGAAACCGGTCATAAGACAAGACCTTTTTCTGGCATGAGGGAAAAATAAATTACCCTGCTTTTTGGGGAAATGACAAGGTTGCGGGGTTTTTCTAAAAACCCTCTAGTTGCCAAATTTGAGTGCAAAAGAGGGTTTCGTGATCTCCATGTAAATCAGAATAAATATATAAGATCTGCAAGTTTTTTTATTCGAATTAAAGAGTCAAAGAGAGGGTAGTTTGAATATCTATTGTGAATTAGAACGGATAAAATTAAATGAAAATATAAAACAAATTAATTTAAAAATGCTAAGGTTTTAACAAGTTTATTAGTTTTTATTAAAACATCTTTTACGAAAACTTTCGATCTACCCTCTCCCTAGGTAGTCGACATGAGCTGTATCCTACAGGACTGAATCGATATTTACGATAACTATCATTGAAAAAGCAGTGTAGAATATTGCACGATATTTTCATATTTTCTTTTTTTAATTTACCTTAGGCGAGGGCATAACACTGAATGTGTTGACGATCCTGTCGGGGTACTCCTCACGCAGCTTGCCGAGCAGCAGCGTGCCGAGGCCGGAGCCGGTGCCGCCGCCCAGCGAGTGCGTCAGCTGGAACCCTACACACGTCCCTACGCTACCGTGGCTGGCGATACAATGACGTACAATGACGTACAATCATCTAGTTTTTTTTTTTGTAGAAAGGCAAAGATGCGTACACAGATGGATATCTTAGAGACATTTTTATGTTCCTATTTAAATGCGAGCATATCCACAATTTAGGATTAGGATTTTTAAATAGGAGATTTTAAATAAAATACCCTGAGCTATCGAACTATTGAGCTCAGAACATTTTATTTGAAATTTATATGATTTAGGTTCGAATTTTGATTTTTCGAATTTATACGACGTTCTTGCGGTGAAGGAAAATATCGTCTGCACATTTCGTTATGAATATTCTAAGATACGAAGTCAATACAGCGAGTTGACTAAAGCCTACTCACCCGTAACTTAGGCTTCGACCCTTTATTGTAGCAAAAAAATATGTTACCAACACACTAAAATCAAAATCTCACGTATTTTATCTAAATTAGTTCAGTGGATTGTTTTAAATTGTTGTCGACACTAGATAATATTTCGATAAAGGGTTCGATTAAGGGTTGGGATATTTAAAAATATCACATTTCCCAGGTATATGCGAAACTTATGGTCAAATAGGCCATAAAAACTTACTATTGTTTGATGACCATGAAAAACACTGGTTCTAGGATCTAAGGTTTTTTCTTAGTATTAAATGTAATTGTAACCTTGCAAACAATCGCAGGGTTCAGATTCTTTCCTGACCACGTCCATGACGGCTTCTACCAACTCCGCGCCTTCCGTGTAGTGACCCTTAGCCCAGTTGTTGCCTACAAAAAATATCTTTTGTTTTAAGGTGGCAAAGCAAGCGTCCTTCTGCATTCGCCGAAATGGCGAAGTGATCATCCGCAATTGCACCGTTGCCTACCCTTAATCGACGGAGGAAACGCATATAAGGAGGATATTTCTCCATCCTATCCTCTTTTGTCGTCAATTCAATTTTTCCTTCCCATCCCTTCCTGTTAGGGGGTAGATAGGAAGAAGAACTAAAATTAGATCTGGGTTAGAATCTCGCTATACAACATTTATTATTCAAACTTCAAATGATCTATTACGATATTCCAATAAGAGCCCGAACAAATTTGACTAAACTATCGCAAAACTGTTTAGTCTCGCTTTGATTCCTATGAGCTTATATGGAGGTACACTACTCGATATTTAGTTGTGCGAAACAGTTGAAGGCTGTGAAAATCGACAATCACACAACAGTTGTGCGACAGTTTTGTTTCACGTGTGCGTAAATGTGTGATGTAAAGATAATCCTTAGTTATCTCACCAGCTCCGCTCTGTCCGAACACGTAGTTATCAGGTCGGAACAGCTGACCGTAGGTGGAGGAGCGGATTGCGTCCATTGTGCCTGGCTCCAGGTCAACCAGGACCGCGCGTGGTACATAACGGTTGCCTGGAAATTAACCAATCGAATAAATCTTTTAATACGAGGCCCTGTACAATAGATGGCGTTGTTACTACTTTTCTAAGACGAGATGCGTGTCAATAGATGGCGTTATTGCCCTTTTTAGGATGTTGCGTTGTTTGTTTTATGGGTGGGTCTCGTTAATAGACCTAGAATATTTCTGTTCTCTATTTGATTGTCAAAGTTTTTAAGAGTATCTAATAAGTAGTTACTATAAATTATTGCTAACTCGCTCGCGGCTACGTCGATGAAAAATTAAAAAAATTGTAATAATTACTTATAACTGGGCGATAACATAGCTTTTTAATGGTGAAAAATTTAATGAAATCGCCCCAGTGATTTTTTAATTATTTCAATATATACAAAATTATAAATCTTTCCTCTTTATAATATTAGTATAGATGTCGATAAGTCGTCACTAACTAAATAAGTGAATATATCTCACCATCAGCCGCTTGATTGTAATAAACCTGAATCCTCTCGAGTTGCAGATCGCTGTCACCTGTGTAGTGGCCAGTCTGATCAATGCCATGCTCGTCTGATATTATCTCCCAGAACTGCAGAGAAAAATATAGTTAAAATAATTAAACCAAGGCGTTAGTAGAAAATGCTACAAATATTTTTACAAAGAATCGAAAGGATCATTCCGTTTTTTTTTAATTCATTCAATTTCTTCCCAAGGCAAGCGATACTGCCAGGATGTACGAATAAAAAAAAACTACTGGCCATTAAAAAACTATGAAAGTTTTGTTTCAATTCTTTTTTGTTTTATGCCATAACATTGTTTTAAGTTTAGTTAATTATTTCTTGTAATTATATTGTAGTGCAAATTATTATGAATTTTGCCCAGTTAAACATTCCATACGTTTTTCTCAGTCGCTCAACCATGATCCTGCGACGCACTAATAACTAGAGCGTAACACAAATATAAATAGATTTCCTATTCTATTTGCGTCTTTATACAAATGAAACGTAAAAAATAAAGCACACCTTCGATCCTATCTGATTCCCGCATTGCCCAGCCTGGAGATGAACTATCTCACGCATTATTTGAATTTTTTAATAACTATCTGTTGGCAAGAAATGAAAACTAGTGTGCTATTTTAAGAGAAGATGGCACGTGGGATGCGTGTTGTTTGATTTGTAATTATAAATAAAGCTTGTCCTAATAATATTTCATTAAAACTACTAGTTAATTGTTAAATTTTAAGGTTTAGTTATTAATAATATTCAATAGAAAATTGTATATTACCTATAGTTAAAGATAACTTAAAGGTAGTTAATGGAAATGACTATTATTTTAATTGAATTAAAAATAAGAGAAAACAACAGCTTTTGTTATATTTTAAAAATTGCATTTTTGTTTATTAATTAAACTAACTTTATATAATCTATATTCTTAATTCAAAAATCAAACTTTATCTGTGCACGCGATGTATGTCACCTGTCAAACAAACTCGCCAATAGAATATTTTATTTTGTAAAAATCGATTACTTTTTATTATAGTAGAAAATAATTCATTTCATATCTTTCATCATCTTATTAAGTGGTATATTTGACTGTTAATATGTCCGAATGTCAATTTAATGTAACAAAATCGTTAAAACATGGGGAAATTGGTATTTTTTGCATCTCGAAGTTGATAATTCTTTTGTGATCATTTCGATAAAGTACGTGACGTATTGCGGTTAATTTCTTTGGAGTGGTTTTGCGGAGATATGTAAGTTATCAAAGTGCTTTAGAGGTATTATTACTAAAAAAACCGATATTTTTAAGTTAATCACTTATAATACTTATAAGTCCTCGATTTGTGTTTTCAAAAAGCATAACGTAAGCATAATTGCAAAGAATTGTTTTTAAAACTTATGATACTACAAGAATTGGTATTTCTTGAGGGAAACTATGTTTTTTTAACAATGGAATTATAAATATGTTCCAGATAAAAAATGGATGGATCAATAAAAATAGAAGTTGAGAAGCATGAGGAGGGCGAGGAAACAGCATCAGTCTCCCCAGCGCCCTCTGGACCTCTCAAATTCATCAGTGTAACTAGTTCCATACTCACGGAAGAACAACGGGAGATGTACGAATCAGTCCTCTCAACATGGAAGCCAGTGATGTTTCCAAAGCGCATGAAACAATACATCTGCCAGAAGTGTAGTAAGGAATTCAAAAACTACCAAAATCTGTACCTCCATACAACGAGAGTACACTCATCAGAAGAATCAGCAGTTATGTGCGATATTTGTGTCAAAACGTTCAAAAATAAACACTACCTATATATGCATAGAATGAACAAACATTACTCGGAATCAGAGAAATGTTACTGTCAATTCTGCTTCCAAGAATATCGTACACGAAGGGCTTTACACATGCATGTGAAGCGCGTCCATCCGAACACTTTACCTGAAATAAAGTGTCCGGAATGCGGGAAAGAATTCAGCGTCCCATACAAACTGAGATATCACATTGATAGATGTCACAGAGAAGATAAGGACAAATTTAAATGTCCTATTTGCGAGAAATTATATAAAAGCCACCTGAATTTGAACAGACATTTACATTTCCAGCACTCACAAGTTGAACGACATCAATGTGTGTTCTGTCCGATGACATTTAAGTCTCGTCATCACATGAAAAGACATATTTTAAATATCCACCCACCATTAGAATCAAAAGTACAATGTCCGGAGTGTCTTAAAGAGTTCAAAAACGACCAATATCTAAAAGAACATATGCAAGTGCACACATCATTTGAGAAGAAAGTAAAATGCGACCAGTGTGATAAATATTTCCACTCCGCAGTCCGTCTGAAGAAGCATAAAAAGATAGTACATCCCGATAAACCGAAGTTACGCTGCGAAAAATGTGACAAGGAGTTCGCGCATGCGCATTATCTAAAAAGACACAATAACTCCGTACATCTAGAGCTTGATGAGACGAAGTACGAACACGAGTGTCCGCAATGCAACAAGAGATTCAAAATTAAGAGGTATTTGAACAATCACTTGCAGCGACATGAACAACAACATTTGAAAAGAATATCGCAAATGGTGAAAACGGTTATGGGTGATGAACGTAAGCCTGGTGCTGCACCAGCAAAGAGACGAGGAAGACCAAGGAAAGTTCATAAGGAATTTGAATTTATCAAATGCGAACCTGTGACTAGTTCTGAATCGGAATCCGAGGAGACTGAATCAGAGTCAGAGTGAACTGAGGGGTAGAAACTACCCTAAGTAAGGTATAAGTTAACACCCTTACTGTAGCACACAAAAATATCGCATCTATCGTTGATTATATACAAAAAAAATATTTTCAAAATGTACGTTCTTTACAACACAAGCAAAAAACTTCATTTTATTGTTTACATTTGTCAAATTATCAATTGCAAATGTCAAAATGACATGACATTACAAACCTTGGCAATCTTACTTCCTTGATGTTGGCAGCAACTTATGGTCTCTTTCCCACATTAGGGTTTTTATCCAAAATATTCACCCCCTAACTTTAATGGCGTGAAAATATATAGCCTAAAGCGTGATATAAGTGTAGGGCTTTTTATTAAAGAAATAATTATTCAAAAATATGGTGTAATTGCTGACATCTTAGGCAACAAAGAAGTGTGTGTTTATGCTTTATTATAATAGTATAGATTTGACACAGTAGGCTCTTTTTATTAATAATCTAATTTTTCGTAAATTTTGAATAATGTTTTTGTATTTAAATGACGATATATGCATTTTGAATCTTCTAAAAATGTATTAAATGCTTATAAAATGGTTAAGGGTTCGATTGTATTTTTAAATTCGTTTCTCTTGTATTATAGATATTTTTATTATTATAAGTAACTTAATTAGATAACTTAGTTGTCTCATATAAGTTAGCAAGTAGAGGTAATTGGTTGATGTTAGTTTTCAAACTTATTTTGTTAACACTCGGTTTAAAATTCACATATTTTTTTTAGTTTGTCTAAATAAGATAGATTAGTTTGACAATTTAGTAGGGATGGGTAAAGACATGAATCTTTTCGATTTTCATTCTTATAGAAGTTGGAATCGATAGATTTATAGTTATAACTTATGAAATAAAAAAACACTGTTTTCTCAAATTAATAATGACCATAACAAATAATGAGAGTAAATAAATGTTTATTACTACAGCCGTACGTAATTGAATTGGATTTCACTATTATATCTGTCATCGCTAAATTCTCTACACTATAATCAATACTAGAATTGTCCTATAAATTAGTTAATAAGAAAATAATAATTTTAGTCGATTTCGATGATTATTTAAACCGAATATCGATAGTTCATAATTGCTGCGTGTTTCACAACGATACCTGTCTATTAAGTACGGCATTTGCCTTCATACAAATTGAATTCGATACTTCATATGCGTCAATTATCAAACTAGTATCTTATTTAGACAAACTTTAGTGTATTTTTGTAGTATAGTCTAGGTTATATAGATTTGTTTACAAATGTGAATAATTAAGTAATTTACTTATTTCAATAATAAATGTAGGGACTAGAAATTTGATGGTTTCAGTGCAATAAAAATTTAAATAAATATTCTATTTAGGAATCTTTAAACAATTTCTTCTTGTCTCGTAGTTAGAATTACATTTTTATGGTAATCTGTAATTTAGGTTATATATATTTAAATTGTTACTCAGAGTTAAATGACCCTTAGTGACTAACTTTTGGAAGAGAATATCTTGGAATCAGGTTTTCAAGCCAAATGTTTTTCACTGTCTGTTTTTTAAAAGGAGATGGACCCTTAAAGTATGAGGTTTCAATTTGTATGTTTTTATGTTCATGTATTTACGTATCTAATAACTGGTTTTGCGAGAAAATACTCGATGAAGATTAACAAATTAGGATTTTTATAGTGACATGGTAAATGACGTATTTATTACGTTTGACAATGTACAGTCGGGGATTCTGTCAGTTCCTTATTACTACAAGCGTTTATTTTGATTATTATCCCCAACCGTCACCCCGCTCTGTCCCCACGTGGTAACTGATGAGAATGAAAAGTTTCACCCGTCCCACCTTTTAGTCCCACTATCACCAATAAGGTGACAGGAACCGTTAAGAAATAAAATAAGCTCCAACCGTTCTCTCGTCGGAAAATGTGGAACGGATGAAACTTTTTAGTCTGTCCACGTGGGGACAGAGTGGGGTGACGGTTGGGAATAATCCCATTTTGAAACGACGCGAAACAAAAATCAATACAATGCTTGTAAACGTGTACCAAAAGACGGTTAATACACGGCTAGTTTATTTTTATTATTATCTCTTTGTCCCATTCACTGGTATTTAGTTATTTGTAAGAGGTGGAGTTTGGAATGAACAAGGCAATTTTTCATAAGTAGAATACCGCGGTTATCCGCGACTGTACATATTTTAGCGTTTGTATTTAGATACAAGGAAATAATTATCTTCAAGAAAATCAATAAATACCAAGTTGATTTGTGACCAGTACACAATCATACTTATATTATAAATGTGAAAGTTTAGATGGATGTTTGTTAGAGTTTGTAGCCTAAACTGCTGAACGGATTTCGATGAAATTTGGTATAGATGTAACACATAGTTTTTTATATCCACGTGGACGGAGTTGCGAGCGTAAACTAGTTAAACCGTAAATGGTAAATATCCTTTCTTTTGAGAATTTTTTTATTTTTTCAATTGTTATAAGGGTCATTAATTGGGGTTTCTTTACTAATTAGATAATTAAGTGTTAGAGATTTTAGAGGATATAGAAATAAGAATATTTTTTTCATTTTGTTTGTATTTTTTGAACTGTACAATCGGGGATATTGTCGGTGTTGCTTTACTTTGTATGTTGAGACGAAACCGAAGGACACATTTATTGTGTTTGTATGAATGTCAGTTTGTACAACTCATTGCTTATAAATTGGTTATTTGTAGAAGTTTGTCTCGCAAGGAAAACGGAACATTCTGAAAGTGGCACACCGAGGATTTCCGCGATTGTACATAAATCTCTTCTATAGCATATCCTTTGTTAATTCTTCCTTACCTTTGAAATTAGTTTTTGATAATTCCGTGGGTTCGATATATTATGTTTTTTTAATGTAAAATTCGACGTTGAAAATAATTTAACAGAGATATTTTCCTGCAGTTTTAGTAACTTGTATTTGGTTATTAACCAGAAAATGGTGACTTTTTTCCATTTTTAATATAAGTTGTAAATATTTTTTTTGTCAAATTTGTTGTAGTTTTGTTTATTTGGAATGTTTTTTTTTTTATTAATAAATTTGGTTTTCAATGTATGGTTGTTTAAAGTTACTATAAATGGAGAAATTATTATTAAATACAAATTTAGATATAGTTTTTACACGTAAATAAATCTCGTTTTTATTGGGCAATTCTTGTAGTGGATAATATATAGGGTGTTTAAAATAGCTTAATCTTCACTCTGTATAAGATTGACACTTTGTAGAAAATTTCAGCTTAAAATAAAAAAATAGAAATGCGTTTGTTAAAGTTTTTATATAGTAATAAATTATTGTATTCTGGAATTCACGAAGTAAAGTTTTTCTAACTTTTATAATGACAAAATAACGCAGATAAATAATAATTATTAATAAACTGTTAAAAACTCGGAATTTGCGTAAATTAATATTAGTTATAATATTTTGTTGTAAATATTAAATCTTTATTGTGCAAATAAATGGTTAATTGGAATAAACGATTTTATTTAAATCCTACAAAAAATATGAAAACATTGCCTGAGTCTCGGCAAAGTTTAGATGGATGGATGTTAGGGTTTATAGCCTAACGTAGTAAATCGGCTGAAAGCATCTCTGTTTTTGGCATTGTTATAATGTAGTCTGGAAGAACACTTGGGAAGGATAGTAGCTAGTAATATCAAATTTTTTGTTTTGTTTTGGTGGAAATCGGTTTTGTTTTTTATTAAGGTAGGGCAAGGTCCTAATTTAAAATCGTTTTCGCCTTGTTTTCCTGTTTAAATAAATTATCGCCCGTAGGTTTTGGTGTTTTGACATCTTTTAAAAAGCTAACATAGATTTCTTCTTGAAAACTCGACGATTACAAGTTTAACGTTAACTTACCTTTAGAAGTTTCTTCGTTTGGGCGCTAGATGGCTCTAAAATTATTTTACATTTATTCAAATATATTGAAAATCCTCAAATCAATTTTATTCATACAGAAATCGTGTTTTTTGTTTGTTAAATTACACATTTCTGTGGAACAAACCTGTCATCAAATCATCAGGGGGCTCGAAAACAATCAAAACAATTTTTAATCATATTTTCCGCCTGTACAATCACTGTAAAGTTTTTTTAGAAAGACAGCGTAACATTAAAAGATTTTTGGTCTCTAAATTATAATTTGAGGAACGGTTTAAGCACACTCAAGTATATTCTAATTTAACTTCGAGCTTAACTGCGGGACTATAAGTAGAAATACATTGTTATTTCAAAATTTGGTTGTGACTTTGAAAATTAAGGTAACAACTTGTACAATACCTAAAAATGTCGAGAAAAAAATACTTGCGTTGACTAACTGTATTTACACATTTACACTATCCAAAGACATTTAATAAAAATATATAAAGATAGTAAAATAAAATAAAAATCACCGGCCTTGCTCAGTGGTAGTGCCCGCTTTAACATCTTAGCACGAATAGGCCGGCACGCCCGGTGTAATACCACGACCACACAGAAGACAGGCGTCAAATGGAAGCAATTCCGTGTTTCGACTGATGAGTGTGGTGCCGGAGGCCTGATTTAAGTCCCTTTTTCTTTACCGCCCTTTTCTTCTTAGGAGAGGGAAAATGGATTTGACAGAGGAGGAGATGCATAGGTAGGGGAAATATCCTCTTTATGTGCATCTCCTTCTCTGTCGGATAAGGGTAGGCAACGCATCTGCAATTGCGGATGTCTATGGGCAGCGGTCGCTTCGCTATTTTGGCGGATTCAGGAGGCCGCTTGCTCGTTTGCCACCTTATGTTATAAAAAAAAATTATAGGTCAGTCCAGTTTAGTGCTGTCTCGTAATAAAACATTTTAAATCGTAATAAGCTCCATCTTTTGTCAGAAAATAAACTAACCAGTGTTTACGAGTTATTTTGACATGTGGTTTTGAGGATCTATCAATAGATGGCGTTAGTGACTCTGTGAAGTTTCAGTTCTAATTATTTTTTTTTAATTCTTTTCCGTTCAATGATTTTACACTGGCTTTTGGAAGTCTATAAAAAACCAATAATAAACAAATCCTATATCATTTAGTGATAATTTAGCTTCCTAATAGTGAATTATTATAATCAGTTCTTTACTTTTTGAATGTTTACTTTGTATTTACGAGTCATTTATTAAGATAATAAAACAAACTTTTCACACAAAATTGTTTATTAATGTAGAAAAAAACCAATAATTATTTAAAATAATATGGCCTTGTTTATTAAAGAGAATAAAATTAATATTTTAATAAAATGTTGGTACATTGTGATAGAAACTCCTTTCTTACATTCTTCTTTAGCAAAACCGCTTTTTCCTGCAAGAAGAGAAAACTGCTGAAGAGTAATCTCTGTCTTAAGGTCAGGGTCCAGCTGTAACATGGAAGTAGACCTCAGAATTAACAGGTCCCTGCCATTCCCCGAACACTATATTCTCTTGCTTAGCGACCGTTTCCATTAACTTCTGTTGGTTTTCTTTCTTAGGGTACGTTTCCACTATCTTTAGTTGTACATCTTCTGTTTGTTCTGGTTCTGGTTTTATCTGTCATAGAAAAAATCATTGCTGGGAATATTTGCAATATTAAGGTTTCTTCATATTGTCGATTAAATAAAAAATTACGTTACTAAGAAAAAAAGCTTACTGTTAACAATCATATATCTTACTAATATTATAAATGCGAAAGTTTAGATGGATGTTTGTTAGTTTGTAGCCTAAACTGCTGAACGGATTTCGAAGAAATTTGGCATAGATATAAAGCGTAGTCTGGAAGAACACATAGGCTAATTTTTATCCCGGGAATAGTTACAGTTCCCGTGGGATTCATTTAGTTTTTTAATATTTACTCGATCATTCTGCAACGGTTCAACATATCTTAATGAAATTTGGCACAGATATAACAAAGTCTGGAGTACACATAAAGGTTCATCTCCAAGAAATGTCCAGTTCCCGGGATACGTAGCTTTTTGTTATATATAGTTCATATATTTTCTAATACCACGCGGACAAAGTCGCGGGCAACAGCTAGTTTATTACATTTTTTACAGACATAGATTTTTTTTAAATTTGGATTAATCTAAGTTAGTATTGTCATATAAAATATATAACAATATACAGCACGCGTGTCAGTAGTAGAGCGTCGGTGGCTCTGTTTCAACACTTGACTTGTAATCTACAGGTCTTGGGTTCGAACCCTGTACTAATGATTTTCGATTTTTCGAATTTTCATATGTACATAATTTATCCGATGTTCTTACTGTGAAGAAAAACATCGCGATGCACATATTGGAGAAGAAATTCAAAGATATGTGTGAAGTCAACCCGCAGTGACTAACTTAGGGTAGGCTCCGAGCCCCTCGGTGGGGACGTATAGTGAGCTGGTGATGGTGTCAGTAGTTTGGTACCTCTGATATGGAGGATTTGGAACACAGGCTACTCCTGTCTATAAACGGATGTAGTCGTGGGCGAAAGCTAGTATGTTTAATGTGAAGTGTGTTCTGTCGCCTTACCTTAGCATTACGACGTACTTTGAGATGTACCAGTCGTGTGTGTGTGCGCATCGCCGTGCGCTGCGTGAAGCGACGCCCGCATTCCGTACACGAGTACGGTTTCTCCCCAGTATGTGTGCGTACGTGGTTCAATAACACACTCTTACCCTGTATAAAAACATTACTAATAATTGAAAAACAATTTGCAACCGACTAGAAACTATAGGTACAGACGGATTATTCCCAACCGTCAACCCCTGTCCCCGCGTGGGGACAGATGAGAATAAAAGTTTATTCCGTCTCACCTACGATTAGAAACTTAACAGGTAGTCGGATTATTCCCAATCGTCACCCCGCACTGTCCCCACGCGAGAATAAAGTTTCATCCGTCCCGCCATTTAGTCCCACTATCACCAATAAGGTGACATGAACCGTTATGAAATAAGTTTCAACGTCCCCTCGTTGCAAAGACGGGGTGACGGTTGGGAATAATTAGTACAGTCGGGAAAATACGCAGTGTTACTAATTAAATTGCTTTCCTAGCAACTAGATAAACTGCACTTCTTATAATTCTTACTATTATGAATGAGAGAGTTTGGATGGATGTTTGTTAGAGTTTGTAGCCTAAACTGCTGAACAGATTTGAATGAAATTTGGTACAGATGTAGAGGATAGTCTGGAAGAACACATAGTCACATAGGTTATTATGTTTTTGATTTCACACAGACTTATTAAATAAATGCGAAAGTTTAAATTGAGGAATATTACATTTATAGCCTAAACGGATAGCCACAATTAGACAAAGGCATAGATGTAGAATATAGTTTGGAAGAACACAGGCTCACTTTGTTTTATTATCCCAAACGGACGGAATATCGAAGTTAAAGTTTCTAATAATTCATTCTTTAAAACAAATAAATAAAATAAATAAATAGGACTTTCATTGCCACAAAAACAAGCTACAAATGAAATCTTACATACGTCAACCTTAAAACTAGTAAAAATTAGAAAATGGGGCAAAAGGCTAATGCAGACGGCGCAGGCCGTTTCTGCGCTGGTTTTCAGCTGGCCCCTTTACACACCGGTATTTACACACAAGGTGACTTAACCTTGTTAGATATTTAAAAAAGTGAATAAACAATAAAAAAAATTATACATATAGTGATTATACATTAAGGTTACAATTTTAAGCTTTTTTAAAAAAAAAACTAGGTTATATGTAACATATTAGTATTTTTCAAAAAAGAAAAAAAATCTAATATCAAATCGGTTTAAACTTAAATCATAATTTAATATGCATACCAAACTTTTTTTTTTTATAACATAAGGTGGCAAACGAGCAAGCGGCCACTTGAATACGCCAAAATGGCGAAGCGACTGCCCATAGACATCCGCAATTGCAGATGCGTTGCCTTCCCTTATACGATGGAGGAGGAGACGCACATAAAGAGGATATTTCCCCTTCCTATACATCTCCTCCACCGTCAAATCCACTTCCCCTTCCCATCCTCTTCTTATAAGAAAAGGGACTTAAATGAGGCCTCC